ATCAAGTAGTAGTAGGTCTGGTGAGCCCCATGGAACAATATGCCCAGCAACTAACAGGCCCAGTGACCGAAGTGTACACTTAGGGACAGCAGAATGATGAAATCACCTGAAGACATTAGGGATTCTACAGCACTGGAGATTGGATTAGCCCCTTCACAAGTATTATCCACATGTGGGACCCTCATGTGTGATTATTCTCTTGGGATTTACTCTCACTACTGGTGGCATGTCTATCTATGAGAGAGTGTAACATAGGGTTAGGGTAAGACTTTCCATTGAAAAATCTTCCTTTGCTAATTTCTTTAAATGCCCTTGTTTTGAATTAATTGTATACTCTGATCAGAGAAAAAACACATTGCTGGTAACTTGGGCTATTGTTTTGAATAGATTTGGACCCATAGAGTACATTGAACTTGGTTGGGGTGGGGGTGCAATTCTAGGAATCTCACACGAAAAAGGGGGTGCCAAATGTGTTACACTGTTTTTTCTTTGGTTTCTGACTCTAACCTACTTTTCCAGTTTTAACTCATACTAATTCCCTTTATGCCTAGAATGTCCTCCCACTCCTCCAACTACCCTGTTGAAAATAACCTGTCTTAAAGACACAGCTCCAGTGTGATCTCCTTGATCTCCAAAGTGAGACATAATTTTTCTTTCCTTAGACCTCACATAACCCTATTTTGTACCTTTTCTATGCACTTTATTTTAAAATGCTTATATCATTACAATTCTCAATAGTGCCTCCCACTCAAACAAACTTCTATTATAACAAAGAAGTATGATTAAGAAAAATAAACTGACACAATGACCACATCTGACTTCATTGTACATTTGTAGTCTACCACCTCTTTACTGAAGAGGCATGTTTTATCAGTCCTCCAAGAACTTAATACGTATCACTGAGTATTATAGTCACCTGCGTATATATCTTATTTATTTAGATTTATAAGCTCCTATTTAGATTATAAACTCCGAGACAGCAGGTAACTTTAACATGCTGAAAACTTTGTACCTCTCCAACAGTAGCACCATGGACAAGGCTTCTTACCTAGTAGGTGCTTATCTAATATTTAAGTTTATACACATGCACACAAATACATATATGTATATACATACATACACACAAATATACATACACATCTCCTGCGCTCTATGAGGGTAGTGATGAAGTGTTATTCATCTTCGCACCTACAATGCCTTGTATATACTAGGCATATTCATACATGTTTAATGAATTGAAGCTTATTTTATTTCAGCCTGCTTGCTCCTTATGTTAAAATTATGTCTTATTCTAGTCCCCCTGACACACTGCCTTGCCCTCCCACTCTGCTTCTGGTCAACAGTATAAAGAAGCAATAGCAGGAAGTCAAATTGCAAAGGTAAACATAGAAGTCATGTCCATCCCAAAGATCAAAGGAGCATAATTTGCAAACTGCATCATGTATTAACCAAAATTCACATCTGTAGAATACGTGCTGAATCAGGGGAAGCCATCTAGGCCTTGGTGTCAGGGCCTTTTGGTCTTATGATAGGTAAACCTCAGGTAAGTTCCAGACATCCACAGTAAGACCCGCAAGGGTATATGGATGTCCAGGAGGACTAGCACCTTCGGTGTGAGGGCTAGCTGAGCCTTTTCAGGGCTTCTCATCCACCTTTGGTGTCCACCTGATTCACCTAACTCTCACCTGTGGATCCAAGAAGCTATATAGTGTGCACAGTGGTCATACCCTGGTAAAATCATCTTTGCACACAGGCTAAACCAGGTGGAGGATAACCAACAAGCTTCCAAAACTATTAGTGAGTTAGGAGGATGACTATCCCAAGCATGAGCAAACTTTCCCTGATGGAATGGGCAGAAGAGAACAATTTGTTCCAACGGCCACAAAGGTGGCTGGAGCAGGAACTGTGGGACGCTTAGAGCTTGGTCAGACATCGAAGACACCAAAGTCATCCTGGGCCATCACCAGTTGTTTTGACATTGCTCTCGCCACTGGACTTCAATGATTCAGGAAGAGAGTGAGGCTGATGACTTTGCGCGATTCTGCCTCACTTAAATCCAATTCACCAGCAAGTCAAGACCTCATCCGAGGTGTCATCGATGGGTCCTCTTTGAAACCAAAGGGCAAACGACAAGACCAGCACAACACCAAATGGTGCTGATGTGGACACGTTAACTTACTTTGAGATGATTTGGATATATTAGTGAACTAACCCTCAAATGGCACAGGTAAGAGTTAGTATGTTCCCTCACCAAAAACCTACAAACATGAGACCTCAAACTCCCCCACTTGGGTCTATGCTGCCGAGTACTCCCAACTCTGATCCATGGTCACATGAGTTACACTTTCTCTGACTTTCCCCTCCCCATCCTCTCCTTTACTACTGCCTGTCTTTCTCCACCTTCCCATCCCTGTCCCCATGCTATCTGCTTCTGTATCAGCTCAACCCCTTTCATTGCCTATCTCTGTACTTTCTGTGCCTTATTAGATTGTGATTGCAGTCTCACCTCTCAACTGCCATTGTGGTCTTTCCTGGAGAATACATAAAGAACTGGGCATTTCCTAATTTCATAAATGAGCAATTTACTCTTTTTCTCTTCAGTATTTCATTTCTTCTTTCTCTGTTCAGGAGTAAAGGGGGGGCACTCCAGCCATGTCAAAAAATGTCACAGAATAATAATAACATCTTCTCCCTTGAATGAGTGGACATCGGTGCCAATAGAGGGCTGAGGTGTAATAAACTCAGTAAATCAAACTTTTTAAGTGGCCTTGGGTTCCTTTTTTTGGTCTCTGGTCAAATCTCCAGGTGGTGAAGTCACCAGTTGATTTCTATGCAAATGAGAAGTCAAGTTCATGCCTCCTAACCCAAGTGATTTAATAGGTAGGATGGGACCCAAGCTAGCTTTTGTTCTCAGAAACCACATTTTCCCACAGGAAGTAGAGTTGAGGAGTAGGGCCCGAACTAGGCCTCTCTCAGGGCACTTATGATAGAGTTTTTCTTTCATTCCTTTGTCTAATACTATAGACATAGAGGCAGCTAGGTAGCATAGCGAATAGACTTGGAGTTAGGAAGACTTGATTTCAAATCTTCCCTCAGATATTTTTCCAACCTGTGTGACCTTGGGCAAATCATTTAGCTTCTCTGTGCCTCAGTTTCCTCGTTTGTAAAATGGCAGTTTCAAAGTTCTCTTCTAGCTCTGAATCTATGATCATATGACCATTTATACAAGACAGGTTAACACTTCCTTACATAGTGTGGTTTGGTTTCTTTTGTGTTCCTAGTACTGAGGGCAGGAACTATGGTTTCCTCCTATTAAAGTGTAGCCAAGTACAGTGGGCGTAAAGTGAGACTCTACTTTTAATTATTCACAGAAAGCAAAGGAGGCCATAGGATGAACCCCATCCCTGAAGCAACCTCAGCACTTCCTGTCCTATAACCTCACCCAAGACTATTCTGTGAAAATAAAGAATCTGAAATGCCATGTCTATACCAGTCGCATTTCTGCTCACTGGCCTGTTCCTCATTCTAGAAAATGAAGGGCAGTAGGATAGATGATCTCTATTCGGTTATAACACTCAATGACTTTAAATACATGAAATATGGGAACCTAACCCTTTCCTTTCACATGCTTTCGCTGCCATCTATGTGGCCAAAGGAGCTTGAAAAACTGTGCCAAACCAATTCAATCATAATGGTATGAAGTGTACTCTCCAGTGTTTATCTCCAGATGAACAGTGGCATTTTCCTTTGCTCCATCTTTAACCTTCGGATTCATGTATTCCTCTTATGGAATTCACTTCACTTTCACTTTTTCCCCTCTCATTACAGACTTTGCCTGTTTTCTCTGCTCCCCTTTCCTGAGATTACGTGATCTCATTGCTGATAAGATCTGAGGACAAAGGTTAGTTTATGTCTCATCTCCCCTGCTCACCTGAGGGAATTCTCTGCTTATACCTTTCCTAGGCTGCCGCCAGCTATGCCTTCAGAAGTTGTAAGGGCACAGGAGAGCTGGGCTATTTACCAAAGATGCTCCCCAGTAATACTTACCCTAGCTCCACAAAGACCACCCCAAGTGGGTGTGTCTGTGACGGAGGACCATATTTTTTTTTTTAAAGGCAACTGGGATTAAGTGACTCAGGCCATGGTCACACAGCTAGTAAGTGTCAAGTGTTTGGCCTGAGGCCAGATTTGAACTCAGGTTCTCCTGACTTTGAGGCCGATGTTCTATCCACTGTGCCACTTAGCTGCCCCCATAGATCTTTACTAAAGGCTTGTTGGAGGACACCCCATGTATTCATGAGTAGTCCCAATCATTCTCCATCTATAGGTTTACCCAGTTCTTCTGAGCCTCAGACCTTAAGATTTTGGCCCAAATCAGATCCTGCTTTTTCAACAAGAGCTTGCTAGGAGTTAATTTATTTCAGGTCTTACAAATCTATGTAAAAAAGACAGCAGCAACAATTGTGTCAGATGACAAGGTCACTGCTGGTTACCCTACCTTTACTGAAATCACTGTTATGTTACAGGCGATGGGTTCTCTAGGGTAGGCAGCATGGCACAGTAGAAACAGTCCCAGATCAGATCCTGGTTGTCCCTCACTGTGACCTATGTGACCTCAGGCAAGTTAACAACTCTCGGTATGATCATGCAATTGTAAATCGAGACATTCATAGGACCACAGGTTTAGAAGAGACCCGAGAGGCCACTGAATCCAAACCCATTTTTTTTTTTACTGATGAGGTAAACTGAGGCACAGCGAGATTGTGACATACTCAAGATCACTGTGTCAGGGGCAGGATTTGAACCACATCTTCCTGACTCCAAGTCCTGTGCTCTATAGCCTCTGAGGACCCTTCCAGCTCTAGAATGAGACTGTCCTGATCACCACCTGCTCTTTGTCAGGTCCTGCCCGTGAATGAGTTAATCTCTTCTCTAGTATGGAGGTGCATCAGCTCCCTTTGAAGCCCACTGACCACATACACACTACCCAGATGCTGATATACACAGAAAACATTGCTTTATTGACTGCATTTGCCAACACATTGAGGAATGCGAAGGTTTTCCATAAGCTATGGGCCGTGGTCCCCATGTGTATTTAAAGCATACACGGATTTTGAACATGATGGCAACGCTGGCAGACAGCGTTATCACAAGGCAACACAAACAGCATGCATTACATGGCCACACAGAACGAGTTGGGTACATTCTATTGCTTTAAGGATTGCCTAACATGGAAAATGTACAAAAAGGAGAAATAGGTCTTTGCATTAATGAAAAATACATTTTTTCTCTACAAAGGAATCTTTCTAATACAAGAAAATAAATATTGCAACATAAGCCAAAAATAATTTAAAATTGCTCTTTTCAATATATTTTCAATATTTCTCTTTTATATTAACAAATGGCACATCACTTTCTTTGAAACAAAGAAAACAGAAGGCTCTCCTCCTGTGACATTCATATCATTTCCCATCACTGATGTTGAGCGGAATTTCTTTATGTTAAGTGGAATAGTTGGTGGGAATTTCCTTAAAGAACAACCAAAGGTAACATCGTCCTGGTGACAGAATGCTACGTCTCCTGGGGCTTCCCGGCTCAGGCCAAGGCCAATTTGCTGAGCAGGTCCTGAGGGCACTCCCCAGAGCCCTGACTCACCTGTTCTCCAGACCCAACCCTTGGTAGCAGCTCAGTCACGACAAAATGGCTCATTCTTCCTTGTGCTAAAAGGGATGGGGGAATTCAAATCACTGCCAGAATGCCTTCTTACTGGTGCAAACTGCTCTCCTAGACAGACAGATACCTACCTGGCCATCCACTCTGTAGGAACCCCAGTTTAGGCCACAAGTAGAGTTTTAAGGAAACCCTTGATGACAGGAGTGGGGTGGGGAGGTGGGGGGACCTAGGACACTGTGATTTTCACACAAAGTTAAGTGAGTTTTCCACCAGCCCCTCTGACTCAGACCTATTCACACACACATAAACGCCCTCCACCATCTCTCCTCACTCTCCCCTCCCCTGAATCCTAGTGTGGCTTCTTAAAGGAGACAAAGTCCTTCATAGTGCAAACATTAACTCTTGCAGTTCATACAGTATCTGAAAGTCAAAGCTCATTTAATAAAATAAACCATTCAAACCTCTTTGTTTTTTAGGTCATCCCAAAATACATTTATAGTACAAAAAATATTTTCAAGTTTTTCTCACCTACGAGGAATGGAGAGGAGAGTGCTGGGGGAGATACCAGCCTGAAGATCCCTGGAGTGTTACAATAGAGCAGCTTCTCTGGGGAAAGGGGGTGGGGAAAGTGTAGGGGAGTGATGGACTACAAGACCATAGGAGTACCAGCACCACACCCTGAGCAATGTGACTCACTGAAGGGAAGGTCCTGTAATAAACACCCACTTGAGGTTCTGGCGGGATTAATGGCCATGGGAATGCGTATTGGGGAACTTCTGCTTAAAATTCAGGTAATAACTACCTGCTCCTTTTCCCCTACTACCCTAATGCTCTTCTTGGATTCAACTTTGCTATGGGAGGATATGTTTTAATGAGAATCCCCTTACCACAATGAAGGGAAGACCAAGAGAACACATTTGACAGAGTAGCGGGTCATCCGAGAGGGGGAGAATGTGTCCCTATGCTCAGGGTCAAGAAACCAGCTTAGAGCTGGAAATAGACACGGAAGGTGACTTCCTTCTTGCTTACATGTTACTCAATTCCCTAAATGTTTTCTCTCATTTGATAACTTTATTAAGTTAAGCAAGGCAAAATAGCTGACTGGATTCTAAGAACAAGGCCACATCCTGGTTGATCCTCCCTTTCCTCCTACATGAATTGGGTTGGGAAGGTAGTTACAAAGGGTCCAGGCCACTTGAAGTGTGAGCAAACCACCCTGTCTGTGTCCCTAGTACCTTAGGGAAGTGTTACCACTAATCTAAGGCATGGTACCAATCTTATGGTTTGGCCCAGATTCTCCACCTCTCTATACTCCTCCCTCCATCAAGTTCTTGGGTTTCCAATATCTGAGTTCTCTCCAAGGAGAGAACTGGAACTCAAACATAACACCCCACTTCCCCCGGCCCCCTCCCCAAAGAGAAGCATCCTTTAGCTCCCCAGGGCACATATACAATATCATACAAGACCTGGGACATACCCAAGTCCCTTGGAAATCCAATCCTCCTCTGCAACCCACCTCCATCCCCTCTCCCACAAAACCCCAAGCTGCCTAGCTGCTCATTTTGGTTGTTCTTTAAGTCTGTCCCTTTGGAGTGTCCGGTATGGATCAGGCAAGAGATGAGGTTGCAGGCCAATGAAGCTGTGTACAGGGATTTGTGTGAGACACTTTGCTAATCATAGCTGAAATGAAGTACACGGAAGCAAGGTCCATTAAAAGGCAGCAGATTGATTATTGTTTTGACTCATTATACTAGAATACGGTACTAATGCCTACCAAGCCTGTTGAAGATAAAACTAAATCCTATTACTGTGTTTAACATTATCAGAACACACTGAACCTTCTGAATCCATTAATTCTCTCCCCTAGATTCCACAAAAGTTGGAGACTTGCACACCAAAATTTGTCATTGTTGACTTTTTTTTTTTGGCTTTAAAGACCCATATGAAATTTACTGAAAGGCCAACAAATGTGCAGTCAGTGCACACATGGTGGCAGGTTTGTTGCGAAGAGTCAGGATTTTAACCATGTTTCCAATCGATTATCATTCTCCTGGTTTGTGGGTGAACCACATGATTGGGAACCAGGACTTTTCTTCGCTGGTTTCATTGTCAGTTTCTCCCCAACCTGTGAGTCTGAGAAAGTTCTGAATGGACGATGCCGAGCATCAGAAATCAAAACACCAGGGTCTGTACCATTCCAGTGGCAAAGAAAGAAAGAAAGAAAGAAAGAAAAAGCATCCTCTGCAGAAAGCTTGGATTCTGACGCCTTCGTAACATGCTATGAACGTATTTCTAACTCCTTTGTTGCCAAATAGCTCCATTTCTTAAAAAAAAAAAAATCCAAGTGACCAATTTCTGCGTCCAGGCTGTGCTGCTGTGTTATTGTCAAAAGATTCTTTGGCATCCACAAAATTATTCAACTGATTCATTTGACATTTGCAAGGTTCTTGTTTGAAAAGTTCTGGTTTTGCCAGTTGAAGAAGTGTCCCAGGTGTAATTCTTAAAAATAAAAAATTAAAAAAAAAAGTTTCACTGAATTTTGTTGTTGTTTTGTTCCCTGAGCTGTCAATCACCCTGGGGTCACTCCAACCAAATACATTAGCGCAAATCAACTGTGACCTTGGAAGCCAGAACTGAAAGGATGGGGTGGGTTAAGTGCAAACACAGAAACTTGCCTGACTCATAGGTATCATTGTGGGTTTTTAAAAAACTTTTAAGGCTTACAAGGGGCATTTCTATGCATGAAAATCTTGTAGGTTTTAGAATACTGACTTCAATGAATCAACCCTCCCCTTTCTATTTCCCCAAGGAGTTCATAGGCTAGTAGGTAGGAGCATTTTTCCAAAAGAAACTGAAGGAAGAAACTTGTAGTCTTAGTAAGACTGGAAACCGCTCCAAGGCCAACGATCTGATTTGCTTTCCAATGTGCAGGACAGGGACTGCAAGGAGACTTTAGTTGTCACCTGTTCCAGGAAGGAGACTTTGCTTTTACACAGTTAACGCATTCAAGTTTTAAAGGTTTATTCTTTTCCTGTTTTGCAAAGTGAATGCCTTGACCTTTTCCCCCAACCCCCTCCCTGGTCCCATTTGGCTAATGGATTCACCTGAGTAAATGTCTCTTGAAGCCAAGGGCTGGGAGCCCTGCCTGTGGGATGTTTTTTCCCTCTGGTTAATTCCTATGGCCACTCAGGCACTGTGCTGGGAGGAAAGGGGCGGCTGGCCGAAGGGCTGGCCCTCAGCCTTGGCATGGAAGCAGACTGAATTGGAAAAGGTGAGAGCAACAGATCGACAAGGCTTCTGTTACAGGACTGTTCTCCCCCACCCTTAAGTGCTTTCTTCAAATAAGCTCTTTGTGCTTTAGAAAAGTTAGTTCTGTATTAGGTTTCGCTTATTCTACTTCCTTGGGTGTTGGGGGGTGTTGCCTTGCTGTGGAGAGGGGTTCAGCTATACCCCTGGAACCTGACTCCTGACCCAGCCTTTGGACTGGGTGCTGAACCCTGGGCAAAGCAGGAAATGAGTTTACTTGTCTTTGCCTTAAAATAATGCCCGTAAGACTGTCATCCCTGCAGAAACAATGGGTACTGGCAATATCAGACCTCTTGTTATTGATGCCTTGGGTGACCCCAAATGGGGCCAGAACCCCCAGTCCCTGAATGCCTGTGTCTGGCATTTTGCTTCATTGGGTTAAATTATTAAAGTTAAATTATTAAAAGGGACGACTCTTGTCTCCCAGGTCAGGGGAGTGGAAGCTTTCATGTCCTATGTCCAGCATACAGAGGAGAGAAAGACAACGGTGCTTAATTTTAAACTATATATATAAAACAAATGGAAAACTCCCACCCCACCAAGAATGGAACCCCTTTGTTATATGATACCAGGCAGAAATTGAAAATGGCAGTTGTAACTGGGTTTAGGCCTCTTAAGAACTGTCACAGTTGGTTATCTGGTTGAGTTAGGATGCCAAAACGCTCATTCTGACTACCTCCTCGTTTCCTGAATCCTTCTGGCTTAACTGAACCCTGCCACTCCCTGGCTCCGAGTCAGAGTCGCTCATTTCTGCATCGGAGAAGTAGCCATCGGTCTCATTGTCAAAGTGCAAGGTGACCTTTGGCCTCTCCCCGGCGGGAGGTCTGTTCATTGCCTCAGGCTTTGGATTCGGCAGCTTCCTAGTCTCTCTGCCCTCCTTTGGCAATCTGAACCTCACTACTGTTTTTGGACTCCCCAACGAGCCAGGCACTTGAAGCGGGCTGTTAGTCTCAAGTGGAGTTGTATCTACAGTCTCCTTGTCCTCATGTGGGGAGCTCCTTGAGCCCACCAGGACATTGGAGTCATGGGCTTTGGGGCTGGGAGAGGGGTGAGAAGGCCCCCTTTTTGGAGTCTTCCGGACTTCCCCACTAGCTCCTTTGCGATCCGTAGGTATCCTGGTTGCTCCACGAGTGGCCTTGCTGTTCCCCGAGTCGTGGTTCAGGGGTTTCACGGTATGGTCTGGTGGGGTAGTCCGCTGGCCAGAGTCCTCTGGGTGGTCTGAGAGCAGGGAGCTGAGGCTGTCCCGAGGGACCTTCTTCTTATTTGCTGGCCTTGCTTTGCTCTGGGCCTTCTTGGTGGTGTCACTGTGCTTGAAGGGAGACTTTAGGGAATGGTCCATCATGATACTCAATAGGGTCTCTTCATCCTGGAGCAGCTCCTCAGAAAGGAGCCCAGATGTGTTGTCCTCATGGTGCCCATTGTTCAGGGACCACTCACTCATGGCCATGTTCTCTGTAGTGATCTGCACTGACTGGGCCAACCAGCTGTTGAAGAAGGTTCCATCGATGGGGAAAGAGGTGGACAAACCTATGCGGGGCAAAAGAGAAAAGGGAAGTAAGACTTGAGTAGTGCTAAGTGTTGGGGAACACAAAGCTAGCCTTGTCATATTCAGTGTGACAGGAACTGGGGGCCCCCTTCTGGGGTGCTCATCTACTGGGGAAATGGTTGTACAAGTTAGGATATATGAAACACTCCACTTTAATCTGCTGCTCTACCTGTTCCAACTCCACTGAACACGATGGCCTCATACCAGGTATTCCCTGCTGTTTCCCTTCCCAAATCCTACCCCCTACCCCTGCTCCCCTACCCCTTTTCTGCCTCCTTCTGGGGGCTGTCTCCCCCTTTAGCTTGTAAGCTGCTTGAAGGGACTGCCTTTTTATTAACTGCATCCCCAGGGCTTAGCACAGTGTCTCAGACGTAACAGCCACTTAATAAATGTTTACTGGATTGGAATTGATTGAATATGAATAAATATTATTGTGTTTTAAGATATGATAGAGATGGTTTCAGAGAAACCTGGAAAAGATGGTATGTAGGGCAGAGTGAAGCGAACAGAATCAGAAGAATAGTTTATACAATAACAACAATGTTGTAAAGGCAAACAATGCTGATTGGGAACAACGATCAATTGCAATGACCAGCCATAGCTTCAGAGGACTCACAATGAAACATGTTACCTATGTCCTGACAGAGAGATAATGGACTTAAGAGTGCAGTCTGAGACATATATGTGTATATATATATATATACATACACACACAAACACACACATACAAATACTTATATGATCTTATTTTTCTTTCTCAAAGGGGGAGGGGAAAGGAAAGGAGAATTTTCTTTGATTGAAAAAAAAAAAAGAAAATGTAATTAAAGGGAAAAAAAAGAAAATCCTTCTTTCAAGGCTTAGTTTGTAGCCCACCTCCTTCTTTCTTGTCTATCCCCGGCAATGCTCACATCCCTCTATAGCACTTATTATCTGTACCAATGAGGCACCAGGGTATGGAAAGATTTGGAATAAGGAAACTTGGTTTGAATCCTCAGCTCCCACATTTACTAAACTATTTAACTTTGGGTTAGTCACTAAGCTCTCCCAGACTCGGTTTCCTTACCTACAAAATGGCAACAATAATAGGATTTTTAATGTTCAGAACAACAAGAAGTCTATCTTTAGGTGAGGGTGGATATGGAAGGTGGTCACCTGAGTCTGACATGGGTAGCTTCCGGCTGAACTCATCATGGTCGTCCACTAGGTGCCAAATCTCTGCTGTTTCTAGGCTGCTCAAGGTCTCGCAGCAGCCTGTGACAAATCCCCAGGTGCATGCTCTAGTTAGAGTTCTGTCCCACTACCTACATACATCTACCTACACAGCTGTCGGGAGCAAAGTTCACTGTAAACATTTAAGTGTTTTAGAAAAGAGACTCACTACTATTTGGTTCTTATACTATCTGCTATGCTCAGATATCTTTCACTGTATCTCTATTATTTCTCCAGCTAGATTATAAATTCCCTGTGGGCTGGGATTGTGACTTTTACACACACACACACACACACACACACACACACACACACACACACACACACACACACACACTCTCTCTCTCTCTCTCTCTCTCTCTCTCTCTCCCCTACCTCATTTGGTAATGTAATGTTTAAAAATGTTAAATTATTTTGAAAGAAAAGCACATTTATTTTGTAGGAAAGTCTGTATACCTTACCTTCCATACTAAAGCTGCCCAGTACAGGTTTCCTTTCAGCCAAGGGGAAATCTTTTCAGCCTGAGCATATCTTCGGTTCTGGCTTACATAAGAGGGCATTTTAACTACAGCAGAACTCTGGTGCTCATTACCTGATACAATTCTTACAGACTTTTTACACGTACCCCTAGAACAACTACATACACTAAAAGTCTCAGAGGGTGCAGCTCATCTGGTTAGAAGTCCTTTCTCCCATAACTGGTATCTGTTTAAGAGACCAATATTAAAGAGAAGTTCTCTTTGCCTGTTACACCAGGAGGATGGACATAAAGCATTCTAAGATGTGCTTTACAGCATTAAAAGATGCAGCTCAGGTACCAGCTGCCACCGTCACTGCTGAGCTGACCTTGTTCCGCTGTCTCTAGATTATTCCAGGAGGAAAAAAAATGGAACAATCTAAATGCAATTTCTTTTTAGCATCCTCACAAATGCACAGTTTGCTAATGTGATACCCAGAATGACAATATAGACAAGTCTTGTCTCTCCAGGCAGTTAGGGGGATGGAGAGTCTGGGTTAGTTAAATCCACGGATATTGTGCATTTTGAAAATTATATGGCAAGGGCTATTATCATTTGTTTTGTTTCCCAGCATTTAGCACAATGCCTGGCACATGGTGGGTGCTAAATAAATGTTTGTGGCTACACACAAACACACACAGAGTCCCTCCTTTTAGAATGTAACCTCCTTGAGGACAGGGGCTGTTTCACTCTTGTCTGTATTCTTAGCACGAACACAGGCAAACAGTAGGTGCTTAACAAATACCGACTGCTTATAGTACAAAGCAATAGTGCCTTTTCTGTGCTGTTCCCCTTCTCCTCTGAAGGATATCCTCACTAAGAACACTTAGGGACGATCCAGTCAAACCCACTTATTTTACAGATTGAGAAACTGAAGGTCTTGGGGAAAGAGGCTTGTCCAAGGTTACAGAATTCTAGGATTTATAAGGGACTTCTGAGGCCACCTACTTTGACCTACACCAGACCGAGAACTCTCTTTATAGCTTTCCCAAAAAACGTCTTTGCTTAAAGACCTAGAGTGAACCCACACTACCTCCTGAAGCAACTTACACCCCTTTCTGAATCATAATAATTCTTAGGAAGTTTTACCTTACCTCAAGCTCCTCTCAGAGTCTTTGCTACTTCAACCTACTGCTGCTAGTTTTGTCCTCTAAGTTCCTCCTAACAACTCCTTGAGGGCAGGGCAATTTGGGTTTGGGCCCAGGGGGGCAGCTTTTACAGGGCCGAGCTTGGAGTATGAGATAGAGTTAGTGTGGAGAAATAGAGTCACCCTTGAAGTAAGGGACAAGTAGACAGTATCTGACCCCTGTTCCACATGACGGGCCTTCAGATACTTGAAGACAACAATCACGTCCCTCTTAAGGCTTCTCTTCTCCAGGCTAAACATCTTCCCTTCTTTGATCTGATCCTCTTCTGGCATGTTCTTGAGGTCCTTCCTCATCCAGGTCCACTTCACTTATCAGTATTCTTAAAATGGAGCCCTCTCAATGGAACTCACGTGTGTGGCCCAGCCAGAGTACAGTGAGACTTATCATCACACCCATTCTGGACATTATGCCTCTTTTAAAGGGGCCTAAGATGTCACTCACTTTTCTGCCTAACATATCAAGCTACCTATCTCACCTTTTTCGGAAAGTCTGTTATACTGCCATGCAGCCCCCATTCTGTCCAGGTGAAACTGATTTGTTGACCCCCAATATAAGACATCACACTTAAGCTTACTCAATTTAATCTGAATAGGATTTATTCTAACTTTCTAGCTTACTGAGGAAAATCTTTCTGGATCCTGACTCTACCATCCAACTGATTAAAAATTTGACAAGCATGTTATCTGTGTCTTCATCAAAGCCACTGATAGAAATGTCAAACAGCCTAGGGCCAAAGACAGATTCCCAGGGTGCTGAAATTCAAACCCAAGGCTTCAATCACAATAAATGTTCTTTTCACTATACCATAAACAAAAGGGAAATCATATAATTTGACCCCCCCCCATTTACAAATAGGGAAATGGAGGACAAGACAAAGCTTAGTTGAAAAGGGAAAGTTAGTCTTGGAATGAGAGACAGACCTAGGTTTGAATTCTGCCTTGGCCATCTACTAGTTCTGTAACAGGGGTCTAATTACTAAACCTTAAATTCTCAAGGCCTTGGTTTTTTTCATCTACAAAATATGTAATATATGAAAAGTAACATCATAAGTAATATTTGTCCTACCTCCCTCAGAAGGCTGTTACTTTGTAAAAGCACCATAGAAAGGGGACCTATCATTACTTCCAGTGCCTAGTAGAGTACTCTGCACACATGGGAGGTACTTATTTTTGCTTATTTAAAAATATTTTGTATGATCCCTGAAATGTCTTTGAGTGAATGAACCCAAAGTAATGATTCTCTAATAGTGAACCTTTGGTCACTGGTGGAGAAGATACTCTTGGAGTCTGTGGGGCAGCACTGGCACTATATCACCCTTAACCATCTTGCCTCCTTAGAGAAGATGCCTAGCCCTGCCCACAAGGGAATCAAGGAGAGGGAGTTTATCTCGTAGGATTTTGTCTATTGACATGGCTGAGTCCAGCCCATTTGAAAAAGAAATGAAAACTTCTACTGTGTTGGAGGTTTTAAAATAATACTGTTCTTCTCTCTTCAGATAGTGATGGCTGTTTCAGAGCTTCTGCAGGGTAGGAGTGATGCCATCAGAGCAACATGGGGTCTCTGGTTATACTATACTATGTATCCACATCAGCTCTGAGGGCAAGACCCTGGCCACAAGATGAAAGCATCAAGGTAGACACTGCCCCTTGCAGCATCTGGCCAAATGAGAAATTCTGCAGAAGGAGATCTAAAAAAGAAATCTATGGATAATGGCAAAGACAACTGGTAGGAGTACCAGTTAAGCCAGTGGCTTGCTGTGTGACTTTGGGCAAGGCCTCAGTTTCCCCATCTGTGAAAATGAGTGGGTTGGCTGACTGCAAGATCTTTAAGACTGCTGTGGTTTCAGTTATAAATTCCCTCCCAGCTCTGGCAGTCTCTGTTCTCTATCATTAGTCCTCAGGTCTATGTTGTACAGTCCCTGCTGGCTCTAACTAGCCTGTAATTCCAAGATTCTAACATCCTTTGGGTTTGGACTCTACGATACCAAATTGACTGTTATCCTGGGGATGTTGCTGAGGCACTGACCGTCTACCTGCTGATGAATTTGTCCCTTTTAATCTAACTAGGTATAGCTCTGTACCTGACTCTGAAGAAGCAGTGAAATACCTCCACCACCTCCCTTGAGAGTAAGCCCACCTGCCCTCCCCAGGCCTCTCTGCTGACCTGACCACAAAGTCCCAACAGGATGGAGCTGGGAGTGGAGGATGCTTTCCTGTTGAGCTTGGCTCTTTCCCCAGGATGCTGGGCCTCTGACTGTAGTCTGGGGAGAAGGGACCGTCCTTGCCATATGCCAGTCCTTCAGCTCAGACCTGGTTTTTCCCTCTCGAGCTCCCTGATGCCCTCTCACCAGCTTCATGGTACACACATGTTGTGACCTGAAGGTGCAAACATGGGAGATGGTGTGTTGGCATTCAGAGCCAGGAAAAAAATAGGCTTGGTCACAAGAGATTGCTAATAGGATGAAAGGCCTACAGTTCAGGGAAGAAGGGGCTGATTTGGGGCTCTACTTTGGCACTGGTCCCTGGCCTGTGTGGAATGGGCTGGTGTCTCTGGCTCCATTCCCAGGAGCTGATTCAGAATGGAGTGACTCAGAAAAACAGAAGACACTCTCTTTCACTGCCCTTTATCTGGGATGGAATCATAGGATCACAGGAGATCCAACCTGGAAGTCAGGAGGACCTCAATTCGAGTCCTGACTCTGTGACCCTAAGGAAGTCACTTTACTTCTCAGAGTTCTGGGCCATTAAGACTTTTAAATTGTGAAGAGTTCCTTATACCAATGTAATCAGAGCTCTAGTTCCTACCCATCAGATCAGGGATACACAGCCAGAAGGGGCCTCAGAGGTTCTCTAGTCCAACTCTTATTTTACGGATGAGGAAACTGAGGCCCGGAGAGGGGAAGTGATTTGCCCCAAGTCACACACCATCAATAACTGGTGTGACCAAGGTTCAAGTTCAGGTCGTCTGACTCCAGATTCTGTACTCTTTTTAACTGTACCATGCTCCAAGTGGGGCACCCAACTTGGATTGTACCTTATCAAATGCTGTTCTATGATAAGAAATTTAGAAAAACAAAAAATAAAGGGACAGCCAGAGAGGAGTAACTGAGGCCAGTCAGCACAAAGGCAGGTACCCAAATGCATCAAACTCCCCCTGGCTGAACCTTGCTGTTGTATTTTTATATCCACTTGATTGCAAAAAGTAACTGTGAGCACTGGCCTACTGCCAGGCTAGCTGCACCCTAGCAGACAGGAAGGACTCCATGTTTGAACACTGACTGACTTGCCTATGTACTGGGAAGTTCCTATGTCCCCAATACTGGTTTAGTCATCTACATTTAGGCAAGAAATACACGGCTGTCCGTAACATAATCAGTTTAGTAAACTTCTTGTAATCCAGGTATGGAAGGTTAACAAACTTTCCTAATCACAATGTCCCTGGGGTTGATAAAACAGAGGAGAGAGGAACACAGTCCAGACCACTTGCAAATGACTGCCCCAAGGTCTCCCTCGCACTTGGCCCCTGCGAATCTGCTTGGCAACAAGAATCAGATATAAAGGCAGAGACCCGGGGTATCTGGGTTCTAGTTAGGGCACACATCACACAGTATGCTGGTGGGATGATAGGGCTGGGGAGCCACACGTTTGCATGCTTGTAACTAACTAGACTTGTGATCTTTTAGGTACATATGTTCCGTCTTGGCACCTCACCTACGGACTCTTCACAGTGCTGCTGTCTGGCTGCTATCTCTCTGGAATAGATGACCAGGGGAGAGACATTCATTTCTTTCTAATTGGGTGGCCTTTTGGGGTTGCCAGGCCTAAGAAACATGCACGTATGCATGTGTGTAAGTATATGCTTGTGTGTGTGTGTGTGTGTGTGTGTGTGTAAGAGAGACAAAAGGAGAGACAGAGGCAGAGAGAAAGAGAGATGGAGAGGTCACATGCGATGGTTTCATCACTCCAGTGTCTTCTGAAGGACTAGTGATGTTTCCCTTGCCCAAGAGTCTGGCTCCTGCAGCGGGGCAAGGACACTTACCGAGCTGCCCCAGGACTAACTCATTGCCTGGCTTCATTTTGTCTTTCTTTTCAGGACTGGCCTTCCTGCTATCCCTTCCTTTCCATTTGGAGTCATTCTTCTTCCCCTTGCTTCTCTTCCCAGGTTGTTCTGTGTTGGACGGACATAGAAAGAGAGAGGGAAATAGTTACTCCAGCACAAACTTGCTAGGGGAGGGCCATGTCCACATCATACTTCCTGTGATCTGGGGGCAATGGGCAATTAAGGAATCTAAGTTTTTCAGATCATCTGATTGAAAACAATCTCTGCCATAATCCACTCAGCCAACACGTATGATGTGCCTACGGTGTGCTGAGTCCTCTGCTCCATCTGAGGGAGATGCTAAGGGTCCCTAATCAGAGCCCAGTCTCTCAGGGTCAATCTGTACAGCCATTCTTTCCTTTTTGTTCCTTCCATGTATCAGAGAGAGCTATAACTTCAGAGACGGGTCTGGCCGTGGGACTTAGGTCAAGGGCTCAGGTAATACTTGAGAACTCTGTTTTTATCACCACAGGAATCCCTACGGGGGCGGAGCCAAGATGGCAGAGTGAAAGCAGTGACTTGCTTGAGCTCTCCTCCAAACCCCTCCAAATACTCATAAAAAATGGCTCTAAACAAATTCTGAAGCAGCAGAACCCACAAAAAGACAGAGTGAAACAAATTTCCAGCTCAAGACAACCTGGATGATTGATCAGAAAGGTGTGTCATGCAGGCTGCAGCAAACCTGGAGCAGGCCTCAGAGGACTGAATCTCGGGCAGCTGTGGACGTTTCCAGACCCCTCAATCCACCAATGCCAAAGACAAATTAGAAGGTCAGTGGGAAAAGTCTGTTTCTGTCGGTGCCTGAGAAAGGAAGGTGGGGTTTCAGCTCCATTCCCCAAGAGCGTGGCCCTGTGGGGGGGCAGCTGCTTCCCGAGCTTCCGGCCCACAGACTGAGGGGGAATCCAGTGGCTGATCAGAGAGGGATTGCAGGGATCTCTTTGCCAGTGCTGAGGCAGGAATCTCTTGCTTTGCCCGTGTTTGGATCTGGGCCACAGTTCTGGGCAGCAGTGCTGGGGTGAGGAGGAGCGCTGGCTTGGTGGAGCTTGTAGTGATTGTGGAGAGGAGCCCCTCCTCACAGTTACAGGACAGAAAGGAGTACTTGTAGTCGCAGGCCAGGAAAGGAGTAAACACCTTGCCCCTTATCATACCACCTTGGAAGAACTGAAAATTTACAGGTCCCTACAAGTATCTCTGAAAACAGCTGTATACAAACCCCCGAAGCTTGGGACAGTACATTCTCCACATTGGAAGCAGATTTGTACCTTAACAAAGAGTTTAAAACTCAAGTAATTGGCCGGGATCGTGAGCAAGCAGGGCAAAAAGAGTCAGACTACCAAAATATACAACCAGAAGAAGACAACAAAGTCAAAGCCCCTACATCCAAAGCCTCCAAGAAAAATATGAATTGGTCCCAGGCCATGGAAGAGCTCAAAAACGATTTTGAGAAGCAAGTTAGAGAAGTAGAGGAAAAACTGAGAGTGATGCTAAAGGAGACCCAAAAAAATACTGAAGAAAATAACACCTTAAAAAATAGCCTAACCCAAATGGCAAAAGAGGTCCAAAAAGCCAATGAGGAGAAAAATGCCCTAAAAAGCAAAATTGGCCAGATGGAAAAGGAAGTCCAAAAGCTTAAAATACTTCCTTAAAAATTAGACAAATCCAAAAGAATGAAAAACTAGAAAACAGTGTGAAATATCTCATTGGAAAAACAACTGACCTGGAAAATAGATCCAGGAGAGAGAATTTAAAAATTATTGGACTATCTGAAAGCCATGATCAAAAAAAAGAGCCTAGACATCATCTTTCAAGAAATTATCAAGGAAAACTGCCCTGATATATTGCAACCAGAGGGCAAAATAGAAATTGAAAGAATCCACAGATCTCTTCCTAAAAGAGATCCCCAAAGGAAAACTGCTAGGAATATTGTAGCCAAATTCCAGAGTTCCCAGGTCAAGGAGAAACATTAAAGGACCGCAGGGCATGGAATACAATATTCCGGAGGGCAAAGGAGATAGGATTACAACCAAGAATTACCTACCCAGCAAAACTGAGTATAATCCTTCAGGGGAAAAAATGGTCATTCAGTGAAATAGAGGACTTTCAAGCATTCCTGATGAAAAGACCAGACCTGAATAGAAAATTTGACTTTCAAATACAGGACTCAAGTGGAACATGAAGAGGTAAACAGGAAAGAGAAATCATAAGAGACTTATTTAAGACTGAACTGTTTACATTCCTGCATGGAAAGATGATATTTATAACTCATGAGACCTTTGTCAGTATCAGGATAGTTGGAGGAAAAAAATTATATGTATGTATATGTAGATAGATAGATAGATGGGGGCACAGGGTGAGCTGAAGATTAAGGGGTCATATCTGGAGAATAAAATTAAGGGATGAGAGAGGATTATATCTGGAGAAGAAGAAAGGGAGAGGTAGAATGGGGTAAATTATCTCACAAAAAAAAACAACAGAAAAGTCTCTTAAAGTGGAGGGGAAACAGGGGAAGGTGAGAGGGAATGAGTGAATCTTATTCTCATAGGATTTGGCATAAGGAGGGAATAACATACGCATTCAATTGGGTATGGAAATCTGTCTTACCCTACAGGAAAATAGGGGGGAAGGGGACAAGAGAGCAGGGGGATGATAGAGAGGAGGGCAGATTGGGAAAGGGGTTAATCAGAAGTAAATACTTCTGAGGAGAGACAGGGTCAAAAGAAAGAATAGAATAAATGGGAGGGCAGGATAGGATTAAGGGAAAAACATGTTTAAAAAAATGTTTTCACATGCTACTGGGAAATAAATATAGGAAATGGGGTACAGAAGTCTATCCTGCCCTACAGGAAAATAGAAGGGGAAGGGGATAAGAGAAGGGGAGAGAGATAGAAGAGAGGACAGACTAGGGGAAGGGATATTCAGAATGCATGACATCTTGGGGTGGGGGGAGGGGGGAGATGGGGTGAAAATTTGGAGCTCAAAAACTTGTGGAAGGGAATGTTGAAAACTAAAAATAAATAAATTTATATTAAAAAAAAAAAAAAGGAATCCCTACCCTATGGTAACCTCAGATGATTGTCCCAGAGGACAAGAGGGGGTCAGTGCTACAGGCTAGTTGCGCAAAGGAGTTAAATGAGGAGGGATGATTTCCTACTGCTTAAAAATATCCCTAAACCAAACTCAAAATTCATACTAAACATGTCTACTCTAAGTCCATGAATCTTCCTCAGCAACACTAAGACATGGCTACATAGGACTCTCCCTAAAGTTGAATTTAAGCAGATTTCACTTGAACACAGATACTGGGTCTTCCATGGTCCAGAGGCCCCTGCTTTGTATCAGTGGCAGACCAACAAGCATGTTAGTGAGCCCCCCCTCCCGCCCAGAGAGGGGGATGGGAGGGACGAAATTGAGATGGGTTTCTTAAGTGCTTATAGAGTCTTGTGTGAGAAACAAAGAAAAGAACAAGGGAGCAAAATAAGACAGCATCAACTCTAGTGTGATGCATTGTATGTCACACAGACAATAAAGGCCATGAGAGTTTAAAGGCGGAGGCCACGCTGGTTCACGTGCTAGAGAATTTACTAGAGGAGGAGTGACATTTAGATAGAGAGGGAGCTAAAGGGTGGGCATTTGCTCTGTGTGTGTGTGTGTGTGTGTGTGTGTGTGTGTGTGTGTGTAACAGCATGAATGAATGTGCAGAGATCTGCACAAGTGTACTGGGGAAATGTGTTGAGTGTGTTGGGGAAATAATAAGAGAGAGATAAGGTGGGAGAGGAAGACTGGGACCATGGAGGGCCTGGAATGTGAGGCTGCCTTCACACTTGATAATGATGTGAAGATATTTGAGTAGAGGAATTTTACAATAAAATATATGTCATATGGACATGTCTTATCAGGAGCTGTGAAGTCTTCTTTTTCTTCCCTTATTCTGATATAAACCAAGAGAGTATTCAGCTCCCTTTACCCTGAATAACAAAGGAAACAGCCAATTACTATGAAAATTTTCATACAGTTCTCCCCATAGGCACTCCCTGGTAGAACAATCAGGGAGGAAATTAGCCAAGTTTCTGGATCTGTGGGAAGTGCTGATCCAGTTGGGAAACACACCCCCTGGGTATGGGGAAAAGGGCATAGTTATCCTAACCCAAGCTGCAATCAGTGATGCCTGAAGGTGAAAGAAGTAGGTCCTTTAGGAGTTTACCTGACTCCTAAGAGAACTCTGAGCCGAAGGTTGGAGACCTTTTAGGTCAGGGATTTTTAACCTGGGGTCTACAAATTTGTTTAAAAATATTTTGATAACTGCATTTTGTAACCTCGTATATTTTATTTTATGCAATGTGTATCATGAAGACAGAGGCTCTGGAAAAATTCTGATTCCTCTGGAAAGAGGGCTAGTGAAAGCCGGAGGGAATTGCTAGTAGAGCAACAGAAGAAGGCCACAGAACTGCCAGGGGCTGACCATATCTGAGAGGAATCTTGGATAGTTTTTGGAGATTGACGCTGTGGGGCCGCAGGTGATACCTCCTGCTAGAACTATGGGATGTCTGACTCCCCAGTGACTGAGGTTACACAGGTCTTTAGGGGAAGGGATGGCTTATTGGCAGGTGTCAATATCTTTCCTTAGTTCTACTTGTTTTTTTTTCCTTGATTTTTGAACAACATGCTTGCAAGGGGAGTTTGTAGCAATGTATACCAGGGGACGCCAAACAGTAAAACTCCTATAAATCCCTTGGCATGGACAATCAGGCAAGCAGGTGAGAACCACCCTCCCTGCTTCCCCCCTGCTTCCTCATGTCCATGGGTTTTTTGGTGTCCCACCCCTTTCCCTTTCCAAACCTAAATTTCTTCATCTTTAAAGTGTAAATAATGCTTGGATTATCTAAAACAGAGTGGTTGTGAGGAACACATGCAGATGTTAACTATGTTAATGAGTAAAGAAATGTGAGTTACTACCACTGTTGCGATTTCACATGTTGAAACTCAGAATGATGTTTCAACCAGGAAAGACTATTATGCACACTTTGGTATTTTCACCAAATGCTTATGCTTTCAGGAAGTATGAAATTAAT